CTGGTTGTTTTGCCCATTAATTGATGCAGTTTCTTCATAGTGTTGATGGTCTTTACAATTTGGTATGTTTTTGCAGTGGCTGTTACCAGTTTTTCCTTTCCAAATTTAGTGCTTCCTTCAGGAGCTCTTGTAAGGCTGGCCTGATGGTGACAAAATCTCTCAGCATTTGCTTGTCTGTAAAGGATTTTATTTCTCCTTCACTTATGAAGCTTAGTTTGGCTGGATATGAAATTGTGGGTTAAAAATGCTTTTCTTTTAGAATGTTGAATATTGGCCCCACTCTCTTTTGTCTTGTAGGGTTTCTGCCGAGAGATCCACTGTTAGTCTGATAGGCTTCCCTTTGTGGGTAACCTGATCTTTCTCTCTGGCTGCCCTTAACATTTTTTCCTTCATTTCAACCTTGGTGAATCTGAAGATTATGTGTCTTGGGGTTGCTTTTCTCGAGGAGTATCTTTGTGGTGTTCTCTGTATTTCCTGAATTTGAATATTGGCCTGTCTTGCTAGGTTGGGGAAATTCTCCTGGATAATATCCTGAAAAGTGTTTTCCAACTTGGTTCCATTCTCCCTGTCACTTTCAGGTACACCAATCAAAGAGAGGTTTGCTCTTTTCATATAGTCCCACATTTCTTGGGGGCTTTGTTCATTCCTTTTCATTCTTTTTTCTGTAATCTTGTCTTCACACGTTATTTTATTAAGTTGATCTTCAATCTCTGGTATCCTTTCTTCTGTTTGATTGATTCAGCTCTTGATGCTTGTGTGTGCTTCACGAAGTTCTCATGCCATGTTTTTCAGCTCTATCAGGTTATTTATGTTCTTTTCTAAACCGGTTATTCTAATTAGCAATTCCTCTAACCTTTTTCCAAGGTTCTTAGCTTTCTTTCATTGGGTTGGTACATGCTCCTTTAGCTTGGAGGAGTTTGTTATTACCCACCTTCTAGGCCTAATTCTGTCAATTTGTCAAACTCATTCTCCACCCTGTTTTGTTCCCTTGCTGTCGAGGAGTTGTGATCCTTTGGAGAAGAGGCATTCTGGTTTTTGGAATTTTCAGCCTTGTTGTGCTGGTTTTTCCTCATCTTCATGGATTTATCTATCTTTGGTCTTGGATGCTGGTGACCTTCGGATGGGGTTATTGTTTGGACATCCTTTTTGTTGATGTTGACGCTATTCCTTTCTGTTCGTTAGTTTTCCTTCTAACAGTCAGGCCCCTCTGCTGCAGGTCTGCTGGAGTTTGCTGGAGGTCCATTCCAGACCCTGTTTGCCTGGGTATCACCAGAAGAGGCTGCAGAACAGCAAAGATTGCTGCCTGTTCCTTCCTCTGGAAGCTTCATCCCAGAGGGGCACCCACCAGATGCCAGGTGGAGCTCTCCCGTATGAGGTGTCTGTCAACCCCTGCTGGGAGGTGTCTCCCAGTCAGGAGGCACAGGGGTCAGGGACCCACTTGAGGAGGCAGTCTGTCCCTTAGCAGAGCTCGAGCACTGTGCTGGGAGATTTGCTGCTCTCTTCAGAGCCAGCAGGCAGGTATGTTTAAGTCCACTGAAGCTGTGTCAAAGCCACCCCTTTCCCCAGGTGCTCTGTCCCAGGGAAATGGGAGTTTTATCTATAAGCCCCTGACTGGGGCTGCTGCCTTTCTTTCAAAGATGCACTGCCCAGAGAGGAGGAATCTAAAGAGGCAGTCTGGCTACTGTGATTTTGCCGAGCTACAGTGGGCTCCGCCCATTTTGAACTTCCTGGCGCCTTTGTTTACACTGTGAGGGGAAAACCGCCTACTCAAGCCTCAGTAATGGCAGAGGCCCCTCCCCCCACCAAATTTGAGCATCCCAGGTCGACTCCAGACTGCTGTGCTGGCAGCGAGAATTTCAAGCCAATGGATCTTACTTAGCTTGCTGGGCTCCATGGGGGTGGGATTCACTGAGCTAGACCACTTGGCTCCCTGGCTTCAGCCCCGTTTCCAGGGGAGTGAATGGTTCTGTCTCACTGGCGTTCTAGGCGCCACTGGGGTATGAAAAAAAACTCCTGCAGCTGGATCAGTGTCTGCCCAAACGGCACCCAGTTTTGTGCTTGAAACCCAGGACTCTGGTGGTGTAGGCACCCGAGAGAATCTCCTGGTCTGTGGGTTGCGAAGACCATGGGAAAAGTGCAGTATCTGGACTGGAGTGCACCGTTCCTCATGGCACAGTCCCTCACAGCTTCCCTTGGCTAGAGGAAGGAGTTCCCCAACGCCTTGCATTTCCTGGGTGAGGTGATGCCCCACCCTGCTTCGGCTTGCCCTCCATGGGCTGCACCCACTGTCTAAACAGTCCCAATGAGATGGGCCGGGTACCTCAGTTGGAAATGCAGAAATCACCTGTCTTCTGCATTGGTCTCACTGGGAACTGCAGATAGGAGCTGTTCCGATTTGGCCATATTGCCAGCCCGAATGGTTCTTTTATTTAACGAATATTATGAAGTGGTTACTCAGTGCCCTGTCCTGTGCAAGGCACTGGAGATACAGTGAGGAGCAAATAAATGTACTACCTACAAGGAGCTGATATTCCAAGTGTGTGTAGGAGGCAAAGTGGGATGACAATAAATACTAAGAGAAAAAAACAAGATAAATACCCTGGAGAAAATAAGAAGGTAATGTCTGAGGCCATGACTGGAGGGGCTGGAGGTGGGATGCCTGCCCACTTATGCAAGGATAATGAGGGAAGGCCTCTGCAGAGGTGAGATTTGATGCAAGGCTTGAATGGTGAGAGGAAAACAATGGAAAGATGTTGGCAAGAGAGTTCTGAGCAGAGGAGACAGCCAGTGTAGAGGTCCTGATGCCGGAACAAAGGAGACATGCTTAAAAGACAGAGAAATCCAATGTGACCTGGTAGCCTTGATAAAAATTGTGTATTTTATTTCAACTGTTATAGAACATCTTTGGAGGGTTTCAGCAGGGGAGAGACACTGTCATCTTTTAGCTTTGCAAACACAACTCTGGCTGCCATGTGGCACTGGATGTAGGGGAACCTGTGGCCATGGTCTAGGCAAGAGATACTGGGAGCCTGGTCTGTGGCTGTAGTTGAGGAAATGAGGCAAGGCATCAGGCTGCGGACACATTGGCACACAGAACTGACAGGGCTTGTGGTGGCATTGGAGGAACAGGCTGAGCCATCACTCAGAACAAAGCCCATCATTGCTGATACCCTTTTTCAGGCTGGAGAGCTTGATGCAGAACGACCAAGGTGGTCCCATTAGCAACACGCCAGCCTGGCCAGTCTCTTGCTGTTGCTTTCCTATTGTTAATGGCTGTGCTTTCTTCCCTGGGAGCACAGCTTTGTGCTGCCTCTTCTTACCACTGTGTTCCCTGCCCTGAGCATGTTGCGGTGGCCTCTGCTTGCACATATGCAGAGACCACCCAGGGAAAGCCTCACCAGGGACACAGGCTCTTGGGCCTTGGAGGCTGGTGAATAGGTGAGGGTCATGGGGCCTTGGAGGCTGGTGAGTAGGTCCCCAAGGCAGTGAGCTCTGCCTCCCTCTACCTAGACTGTCACCAGTCCAAGCTGAGAAGACTGCCTGAAAGACAAGCTGTAACAAACATTTGAAGTCCCTTATACATATTCATTCATTCGATCCTCACAACAACCCTTTGAGACAGGTCTCATTATTCTCCTCAGTGTTCAGGTGAGGAAACTAAGGCACAGTGGTTATGTAACTTGTCCAGGATCAGAAGGTGCAAGGAAGCAGCACTAGGAGTTAGTGCAGGCAGTCTGCTCCATAGCCTGGGCTTTATCCACTGCTCTGTCTGGCTTCAAGTGTGGCCCTGCCCACCAGGGAAGCTACACACAAGTGACAGAGATGAGAGATTTACAGCAGCACAAGAAGCACACAGCACTGAGGAGACCCCTAAATATTAAAGTGCACAAGGACAGCCTCTTGTAAGAAAAGTGGACTCAGCCTGGCCCAAAGGATAGGTGCAGTCCCATAGAGCAGAGCTGGGGAGGCACTGCAGTCAGAACTGAGAGCAGATCCACAGGGTGGTAGCAGGGAATGAGTACCATGTGTGTGGCAGACCAGACGGGACAATGAGAGGACAGCGGTTGCTAGAGGGGTGTGGCTGCGGGCAGACCAGGGTCACATGACACTCTTTACTAGCATGTGAGGCTCAGAAGTCTTCATTTTATCCTGATAACAGGAAGCCACTGGAGGACCAGCATGAGGGTGAGGAAGCCACAGAAGGGAGATGAAACCTCTGAAAGGCACGTATTAAGCCTGGATGGTAGAGGCACGATCCCTCAGACATTCTCAATTGTTCTCCCTAGAAGTAACTGATCAATATCCCGTTGTTACTCATAATAGCCAAAAGGTGAAAACAACTGAAACTTTCATCAACTGATGAATGGATAAAGAAAATGTGGTCTATTCATACAATGGAATATTATTCAGCCATAGAAAGAATGAAGTATTGAAACATGCTAAAATATGTACAAGCCTAGGAAATAAGTTATATGAAAGAAGCAGTTACCAAAAGCCATGTATTGAATGTTTAAAGTTATGGATACGGTAATTATCTTGATTTGATCATTATACAATGTATACATGCATTGAAACATTACACTGTGTCCCATACATCTGTACAACTATTAGTATCAATTATAAATTTGTAAGTTGACTTTTTTAAAAGGCTGCATATTGTATGATTCCATTTATATGAAATGCCCAGAAAAGGCAAATCCGTAGAGACAGAAAGTAGATTACTGGTTGCCAGGGGCTGTGGGGAGGAGGGAGTGAAGAGTGACTGAAAATGGGCACAAAGTTTCCTTTTGAGGTGATAAAAATGTTCTAAAATTAGATAGGGGTGATGGCTGCCCAGCTCTATAAATATACTAAAAATGACTAACTTGTACATTTTACAAGGGTGAATTTTACAGTATGTAAATTGTATCTCAATAAAGATGTTATCAAACCATGATTGCTTGATTTCCTTATGCTGATGAGTAAACAAATCAACATTTCCAGCTGGTGCTGAGACTTACCTTGCGTGCTACTTGTTGAAACCGTTTTTGTGCCCTGGACCTGCTGAGCCAAGTGTTATTAATGAGTGGATCAAAAGTAGGATGAAATTCCTTGATTTTCTGTGAATATAAAATATAGGCACATCTTACATTTAACTTTTAACTCCTGTCATAAACATTTAATAAAAACATTTTAGAGTTTGATCCCAAATCAAGTTGTTATTTGTTATATTGCTTAGTGAGCATTTATTTATTAAGCACTTTTAGTGTACACAGCATTATAAGGAACACTTCTTGAGTTGGGGGCCAAAAGTGGAAGACAAGATTAGCGTTTTAAGAAACTTATAGTCTAGTTAGGAATGCTCAAGCAAACACACGTGACTTTGAGGAAGAATAAAGTCACCAATCCCATGTGGTGGTGCTGACAGTGCATCCAGAATTGAAAGGCGTGGGCTGTGAGATCCCCTGGCTGGGAAGAAGGACTACTTTACCCAGCCCTGCATGCCCAGCGCTGACACATGTGTTGTCCCACATGTGCCTGCATGTCCCGGGCACCAGTGTATCTAAGTTAGTAAATGAATAAGGAGGAAAGAGTGCCTGAGGGTATAGTGAGACTGGCCAGAGCCTAAGGCACTGTAGGTTCTTGAATAAGGAAATGATATAAAAAGAAACATCAGAAGGGAATCAGTCTTACTTTGGCATATGCCATGAGCTGCAGAGGAGAGGGAAGATGATCAGTTATATACACATAAAAGCCTATTGGATTAGTCATGGGGGACACCCAAAGGTTGGACCTCTGGTAGGGCCCATGGAAGAGCTACTGGCAAGACTCTGTGGCCAGAATAAATCTAGTGAGGAGGAGGACAGGGAGAAATGAGGTAAAAATAATTCAGATATGGCAAAACCAGCAAAGAAAAGTGAGAATGATGGAGGTGGGAGATTAGAATTTTATCCTTGTTAAAATTAGAAGTTAGACTTTTAACCAGTGATATGGTTTGGCTGTGTCCCCACCCAAATCTCATCTTGAATTGTAGTTCTCATAATCCCCATGTGCTGTGGGAGGGACCAGGTAGAGATAATTGAATCACGGGGGCAGTTTTCCCCATCCTGTTCTCATGATAGTGAGTTAGTTCTCAAGAGATCTGATGGTTTTTGTAAAGGGCTTCTCCCTTTGCTTGGTTCTCATTCTTCTCACCCCTGCAGCCATGTGAAGGATGTGTTTGTGTCCCCTTCTGCTATGATTGTAAGTTTCCTGAGGCCTCCCCAGCCATGTGGAACTGTGAGTCAATTAAATCTTTCCTTTACAATTTACCCAACCTCAGGTATTTCTTCAGAACAGAGTGAAAACAAATTAACACAGTAAATTGGTACCAGGAGTGGGATGCTACTATAAAGATACTCAAAAATGTGGAAGCAACTTTGGAACTGGGTAACAGGCAGAGATTGGAACAGTTTGCAGGGCTCAAAAGAAGAAGGAAAATGTGAGAAAATTTGGAACTTCCTAGAGACTTGTTGAATGACTTTGACCAAAATGCTGATAGTAATATGGACAATGAAGTCCAGGCCGAGGTAGTCTCAGGTGGAGATGAGGAACTCGTTGGGAACTGGAATGAAGATGACTCTTGCTTTGTTTTAGCAAAGAGACTGGGGGCATTTTGCCCCTGCCCTAGAGATCCGTGGAAATTTGAACTTGAGAGAGATGATTTAGGGTATCTGGCAGAAGTAATCTCTCAAGAGCAAAGTATTCAAGAGGTTACTTGGGTGCTGTCAAAAGCATTCAGTTTTATGTATTCGCAAACATATTGTTTGGAATTGAACTTATGCTTAAAAGGGAAGCAGAGCACAAAAGTTTGGAAAATTTGCAGCCTGATGATGTAATAGAAAAGAAAAACCCGTTTTCTGAGAAGAAATTCAAGCCAGCTGCAGAAATTTACATAAGTAACGAGGTGCCAAATGTTAATCACTAAGACAGTGGGGAAAATGTCTCCAGGACATGTCAGAGTTCTTCATGGCAGCCCCTCTCATCACAGGTCTGGAGACTAGGAGGGAAAAATGGTTTAGTGGGCTGGGCCTGGGGCCTTGCTGCTTTGTGCAGTCTTGGGACTCAGTGCCCTGTGTCCCAGTCATAGCTAAAAGGGGCCAAGGTACAGCTCAGGCCATGGCTGCAGAGGGTGAAAGCTTCAAGCCTTGGCAGCTTCCACATGGTGTTGAGCCTGTGGGTGCACAGAAGTCCAGAAATGAGGTTTGGGAAACTCTGCCTGGATTTCAGAGGATGTATGGAAACACCTGTACGTGCAGGCAGAAGTTTGTTGCAGGAATGGAGCCCTCATGGAGAACCTCTGCTAGAGCAGTACAAAGGGAAATGTAGGGTTGGAGCCCCCACACGGAGTCCCCACTGGGGCACTGCCTAGTGGAGCTGTGAGAAGAGGGCTGCCATCCTCCAGACCCCAGAATGCTAGATCCACCGACAGCTTGCACTGTGCACCTGGAAAAGCCACAGACACTCAATGCCAGCCTGTGACAGCAGCTAGGAGGTAGGCTGTACCCTGCAAAGCCACAGGAGCAAAGCAGTCCAATGCTATGGGAGCCCACCTCTTGCATCAGCATGATGTGGATGTGAGACATGGAGTCAAAGGAGATCATTTTGGATCTTTAAGGTTTAATGACTACCCTATTGAATTTCTGACTTGCATGGGGCCTGTAGCCCCTTTGTTTTGGCCAATTTCTCCCATTTGGAATGGGTATATTTACTCAATGCCTGTACTCCCATTGTATCTAGGAAGTAATTAACTTGCTTTTGATTTTACAGGATCATAGGTGGAAGTGACTTGCCTTGTCTCAGATGGGACTTTGGACTGAGACTTTTGAGTTAACGCTGGAATAAGTGAAGACTTTGGGGGACTGTTGGAAGGGCATGATTGTGTTTTAAATTGCGAGGACATGAGATTTGGGAGGCGCCAGGGGTAGAATGATATGGTTTGGCTGTGTCCTCACCTAAATCTGGTCTTGAATTGTAGTTCCCATAATCCCCACATCATAGGAGGGACCAGGTGGAGATAACTGAATCATGGGGGCAGTTTCCCCCATCCTGTTCTCATGTTAGTGACTTAGTTTTCACAGGATCTGATGGTTTTAATAAGGGGTTTCCCCCTTGGCTTGGTTTTCATTCTTCTCATTCCTGCCACCCTGAAAAGAAGGAAGTGTTTGCTTTGTCTTCTGCCATGATTATAAGTTTCCTAGGCCTCTCAAGTCATTCAGAACTGTGAGTCAATGAAACCTTTTTCCTTTATAAATTACCAAGCCTTGGGTATTTCTTCATAGCAGTGTGAAACTGAACTAATATTATAAGACAGAGATAATCAGGTGGATGGGGCCACAGTACTCATTTTACATTTGAGAACAGTAAGGCACCACAGCCAAGAGGCTTGCCAAGGTCCCAAATCTGTCATAGAGTAGTAATTAGAACTCTGGCTTCTGACTTCTGATTCTGTATCCTTTCTACCAAGGGAAGGGGGATAATGAACAGAGGCCCAGGGATCCACCTTGATGACCTGCGGACAGGGGTTTAGAGAATGAAGGAAAACAAAAAAGGAGACCCAAAACAAGAAAGTAGAGGGATGAAAAGGAGTGGCCAAAGTATATAATGCTGTTCATTTCAAGAGAAACATGAATTACAAGTTTTGATGCTTTACTTGCAAAAATATGGGAACATTCTGAAAATTTATGCAAATTAAAAAGTATTAAATATCTCTTGGTAAAGGATTTCTATAAAATCGTTTAGCATTTTAAAAAATAAGCATTTAAAGAGCTGCCAATAATCAGATTCTAGATAAAGGAAAGTTACCCACCTCTTCTTGGTTGCGAACGACCCGTTTTTGGCTAACTTCTGTTTTAAGTCGCTGAAATTCCTCATCCAAAATAGGATCTCCTCTATCTAGCTGGGTTTTTAATCATCAAAATAATTTAAGTTGAATATAAATGCACAAAACTTTGTCTTTAAAACTTGTAGAAACCCATTAAGCAATTGACCAAATCCACCCATGACGTTCCCATTAGAAGTGGTGAAACACAAGTAGGCAAAAAAGATCAGTATGACTACACCATTTAAATATAGGGAGCTCTGATCGAAGCACAGACTCGATACCTTCTTTTTTTTTTTTTTTTTGGACAGAGTCTCACTCGGTCACCCAGGCTAGCCTGGAGTGCAGTGGCGCAAACTCTGTTCACTGCAGGCTCTGCCTCCCGGGTTCATGCCATTCTCCTGCCTCAGTCTCCCGAGTAGATACCTTCTTTTTATAACTAACAGAGAGTGTCTTTGAAAATTATTTTCAAGACACTTAACATTCATAGAAAGAATTTTAGGAAACTGTAACTATGGGAGTATACAAATTTCATTAAAAAGACATTTAACGTCCCAGTAAAGTTTTAAGCTCAAGTTGATTATCCCGGCGTCAGGTTTTAAGGCAGGCATGTGGGGATTCCTCCCTTCTCCTGGGTGGTGGAAGCTGACAGGTCTTCCTGGGCTGGAAAGTGAGCTGAGGTTCCCGGAGGTGAGTGATCCCAGGCTGCTCTCCTTCCCTTACCTGCCTGCTTCCCTGATGGTGTCTGGGCCCTTTTTCTTATTCCCAGGAGCCAACAGTGACTCCTGGGGTAGGCTGGCTGGGCTGGGGTCAGTGTCTATATGTGTCTGCCCAGGTGGGAAAGGGGACTGCGTACTCCGCAGATGGTGTTAGTTTTTGCCTATCTGTGTGTTCTATTAATTGTTTGTTGGGTAACTTCAAAAACCAGCTTGGCTCTTAAGTACACTGTTTATAAAAATTTTAAAAGATTTATTTGGAATAAATCTGTTCTGATCATCACATTAACACCCTATTCAGAAATAAGAGAGGCATGCTATTGTCACCAGGGTGGTGAGCTGCCTAGCTCTGATTGGCACATATTGGGAAGTTGAGTTTGAGACTGAGCACATTAAGTTCAAAGTACAGATTTCATGGGGAGACCCAGATCCCCACCAGCATTAAGAGTAAAATAAAATAGGCAATTTAAAGAAGGGACTGGCAAACAGACCATTAGCTAGAATAATGACAAGGGAGATTTATTATATCTTTACTAAGACACTGCTGATTTGATGATGATGAGTAAAAGTTCATCATCCTTGAGGGCTGTGCCACCCCACTCTGAGGCCAGCTCCTTCGTTCTCCCACCATTTCTCTTCTTGGTTTCCACCATGTGCCTGGGGTGGAACTCCTCCAGGAGTTCCATGCCACTGGGTCACCTGCCAGGACTCAGCTCTCAGATGAAATCCCCTGGACACACAGAATGCGGTCCCTGAGATGCTTGATCTCCCATAGTCCAGGGTGTCTGGGCTGCCTGCTCATCCTCCTTGCCCCACGAGCCATGCTAAGGATGGGACTGCTCCTTGGCTGACACTGCCCACAGCCACAGCCTCAATGCCCACAGTGACTGATCTGGGCATGTCTGTGCCCACTTCACCTTTAAAAAGGTTAGAAAACAGCATTCCACTGTGGGGTTGACTGAAAATACTTGATGTTTTGTTCTTAAGAGAGCATGCAAAGAATCTGAACACGTGGAACTAAATTTAAACGCACATCTAATATGTGATTTTTCTAAATGCAAAGATTTACCAATGTAATGATTTTATATTCTTTTGTTTGTCTTATGACAAATGAAGAAAAATAAGACAAATTTATTTAAATATCTAGTTGGACTCCAAATCTAGAAAGAAAAGTACATTCTCTATGTGAAACATATTCATATCTGACAAGAAATGTTTTTCCCCAATCCCTTCCAGCCACTGCTGCCAAGTCAGTCTACCTGAACCTCGCATTCCCCAGCTCAAAAATCTGTGTTATGGATTGAATTGTGTCCCTTCGAAATTCCTATGTTGAAGCCTTAACCCCCAGAACTCAGCATGTGATGGTATTTAGAAATGGAGTCTTTAAAGAAGTGACCGAGTTAAAATGGGGCTGTTAGAGTGGGTCTTAATCCAGTATGACTGCTGTCCTTATATGAGAGGAGATTAGCACACAGACACAGAAGACCACATGAAGGTATGAGGAGAAGGTGGCCACCGATAAGCCAAGGAGAGAGATCCGGAACGGATCCTTCACTCATGGCTCTCAGAAGGAATCAAACGTGCTGAGAACTTGATTTTGGACTTCCAGCCTCCAGAACTATGAGAAAATAAATTTTTGTTGTTTCAAGCCACCCAATCGGTGGTACTTTGTTATGGCAACCTGAGCCAATTCATGTAATATATGATCATTCTGCAAGTCCTACCAATTAAATTCAGACACAGAGCCCCAGCCAACTCCTGTCTCCTCTGGCCCATGTGTATCTTGTGTTTTAGCCACTGTGGACTTGTCCTCAGTGTTCTCTGCAGCTGCTGTGTAGGTAACAACCATCTTCAAAGCATGGTGAGGCCATGGGTGCTGCACAGTCCCCAGTTCCCATCCCTGAACCTACAGGTGCTACCTTGGAACCTCAGGTGTGGTCCCCTCAGACCAGTTTCCCTTTTCTGCTCGGCCCCTTTGAGGGTCTCTGACTTGAGACTATCATTTGCATCTGTCTCTGATCTGGGTCCTGGTTACCAACTTTGGGTCTCTTTTGTCTTCATGCTCTGCAGATCATGGGACAGGGGACCCCAGCTCAAAACTCCTGCTCGAATCTGAGTCATTCCCTCCATGTGAATGCCTTTGTCCTCTTTACTACTTTTCAAAAAATTATACAAGGTCTTCCAGGAAGCATCCCAATCAGATGAGTGTTCTCTCCTCTCTGGCTTCTGCATCCCCACAATACTTACTATAGGTCTCTGGTGACACTTATAGCCAGTCTTGATTTATGGTTGACAATTTACTTGTCATCAGCCTTTCCCACTCCCAACTTAACTATGGATTTTCCTCCACCTGGCACCTTGCAGATAGTAGGAATTTAAAAACATCTAGTGAAACAAATGATAGCAAATTAGCAGTAACTCTGACCTTATATTTGGCACATGCTCTTTGCCACTCCTCAGTAAGCTCTTTTTTAAGTTTAAAAGACATAGGATCTTTACCAAGGTGCACCTGCCTGGGGAGAAAAACAACAACAACAACAACGGTGTCCACAACCCATCAGAATACCAGAGTCAACTTTAGGATGGAATATTTCACTATATTCCAAAACTGAAAAGGAACACTGAGATGCTAGAGGAGACACACGAGATAGAGAAGTTATAGAGGCTTCAGCAGCATAACTAAGATGAATAATGTGTTCTACAAAGTGAAGCTTATCTTAAATATTTATGAGTAACAACGGATGCTCAGCCTTCTAAATTATTAGGGAAATATAAATCAAAGCCACAACAATACACCCCTTTACACCCACTGGGATGGCTATGATGATGATGATAATAATGGAAAATAACAGGTATTGCTGAACAAGTGGAGACATCATAACCCTCATATGTTGCTGGTGGCAATGTAAAATGGTTCAGCCACCATGGAAAACAGTTTGGTGGCGCCACAAAAAGTTAAACATAGAGCTACCATATGACCCAGCAATTCCACTCCTAGGGTATGTACCTAAGAGAACTGAAAAGATATGGTCACAGAAAAAAGTGCATATAAATGTTCACAGCAGCATTATTCATAATACTCAAAAAGTGGAAACTACTGAAATGTCCAGTAACTGATGAATGAATAAGCAAAATGTTGCATATCCAGTCAACGAGATACGATTCAGCCTTAAAAAGGAATGCAGTACTAACACATGCTATGATGTGGATGAATCTTAAAAACATGTTAAGTGGAAGAAACCAGTCACAAAAGACCATGTATTATGTGATTCCCTTTATATGAAATGTCCAGAGTGCGCAAATCCATAGAGACTGAAAGTAGATTGTGGTTGCCAGCGGCTTCGGGGAGTGGGGAGTGGGGAGTGGGGAGTGGGGAGTGAGGAGTGACTGATAATGGGTATGAGGTTGCTTTTTCTAGTGATGCCTATGTTCTGGAATTGGGTAGTGCTGATGGTCATGCAACATTGTGGATTTACTAAAAACCTAGGCACAATAAACTTTAAACTGATTAAAATGATGAATTTTATCACAATTTAAATAAATTAATATGTACTGTATTCATCACAAAACCTAGCACATGTCTTAAATAAATAATATTTATGATTTTTAAAGTGGAGGTAGAGAGATGTTCTAGAGAACTGTTTTAGGTTAGAGGAGACTAAAGGGACATGAAAGCTAAATACAAATGGTATGATCTTTGACTGGACCCTGGATACCTCTCTCCAAAAACAAAACAAAAACAAACCAGGTATAGGCCGGGTGTGGTGGCTCACGCTTGTAATCCCAGCACTTTGGAGGCCCGGGCTGGTGGAGTGCTTGAGGGCAGCAGTTCAAGACCAGCCTGGGCAACATGGCAAAACCCTGTCTCTATTTTATTTATATAAAATTTAAAATAAATATTTTTTAAAAGACTAGGTATAAAGTACATTTTGGGACAACTGGCTAAATTTGCCTATAGACTGATTATTCGATAATATTATTGTATCAGTGTGAAATCTCTTGGAGGTGATTACAATAATGTTGAAGAATGTCTTTGTTCTTAGGCGCTACATGCTGAGGTATTTTGGCATGAAGCTTCCTGACATCTGCAATTTATTTGCAAATGGCTCGGGGAAAAAAGTGCATGCAGATATGTGTGTGCATGCATGTGGAGTGAGGGGAGTGTATGTGTCCTAATGTGAACAATTAGAGAACCGAGGTCAAGTATATGTGGGTTTAAGATCTCTCAACATAAAAAGTTGGGAAAAATATTAAAGGAACAACACAGCATTCAGAATGGGATCTGGGATGTGACTTCAGGTCTGATACAGAGACGCATAGAAAGAACAAAAACCCCAGTATTGACAGTGGTCACTGGTCACTGCTGAGTGGTGGCATCACTGTGATTTTTTTTTTCTTCTTTATATGTAAAAAAACATGTTTTCAGGTTTCCTACAGTGATGACCTACCTGTTTTTCATAATAGGGAAAAGGTGTTTATAAACATAAAATTTTCAGTTCCTTGGAGTACTTCCCATTAACTGAGGCGGAACCGTAACTATAGACGTAAGCCGAGACAGAAGGGATTTCTGTTGGAAACAAGGGCCATTTCCCCAGAGACAGGAGACTAGCCAAGTGGGCACCTTCAGAGGGCTTCAGGTGGGGTCATGTTCTCACGTGTCAGGAAGGGTGGAGGCTGGGTCATGGAATAGGCAGCCTCTCAATGACACTCTCCAAGAGTCTCTTTTTTAGCCCAGTTTACTCTAGGTCAGGCATAGTGGCTCAGACCTGTAATCTCAGCACTTTGGGAGGTCAAGCAGGAGGATACTTGAGCCCAGGGGATTGGGTCTCACCTGGGCAACATAGTGAGACCCTATCTCTAAAAAAAAAAAAAAAAACCAGAAAAAAAAAATTAACTGGGCGTGGTGGTGTGCATCCGTGCTCCCAGCTACTTGGGAGGCTGAAGTGGGAGGTTCACTTTAGGCTGGGAGGTTGGGGGTGCAGCCAGCCATGATGTGACACTGCACTCCAGCCAGGATGACAGAGTGACACCCTTTCTCAAAAAAAAAAAAAAAAAAAAGTTTACTTTTCAGCTAAATATGTACATGTGCATATGCTTGGTCTGATCTGGTTTAAAAAAAAATCGTGAAAAAGTTTCCAGTTTGGGCACAGAAGCACAAGAATTCTCACATCTCAGTTTTAAAACCTCCATTAAGAACTCCCCAGAGCCTCACCCCACTGGGCTACCCAGAAGGCATCTGGGGCACACAGCCCAAGGCACACCGGCTCCTGGTTGAGGTAGAGGATGAGGGGAGTGTGATTTGGGGTGACCAAGGCACCTAGATCTGTCCTGGGCTGAGGGGGTGCCAGCAGAGTGGCCAGCAGGAGCAGGGAGCATCTCCCACAATTCACTCCAGTCCTGCCACTGGTCACATTTAGGAAACAGTGTGGTTTGGTCACATATATTTATTCCTAATAGAAACTTCCTACTGAAGTGGAAGGACCACTGGCAGAGAAACAATCATTAAATTCTCCAAAGTACCTAAAACGTTATTACATTTTACTGTCTCTCATTTATAAAAGATCATCATCTAAAAACAACTGTACTGTCACTTGATACAAATAATTGCTCAATATTTACCACTTAAGATGATTTTCCATCTCATCGTGAATGTCCTGTCTGACTTTCTGTTCAAAGAGTGCCTCCTTCATCTGTCTCGTTTTTGAAATTTCAGTGCCCTGGTCCAAAACTGAAGGCAAGAGCAGACAATGTTTATACCAGTAATCAGATTAAAGTCATGTGCAGAGAGAAAAACACATTTCTAATGGCGAGGCATAACAGCAATCTAACTGAATTTTGTTTTTCATAGGTAATCAGTATGACAAGCAGTAACTCTTTCACATTCGGCTCAGGGGCTGCTTTATGGCCAATCAACTGGTTACCTTCTCTTAATTCTTTAATCTTCAATTTTCCTGGTTCTTGGTTTAAAACAGTTGCTACAGCAAATGGATTCGATAAATCTACTGGAAATCTGAGGTTCTGGTACTCAATTTCCTAAGAGACCAAATCAATAGGGAAATCAGTTACTCTGCCATTCTGTCACCCTTTCATCACACTGAGGACAAGGCCCACCGTACCTTCACCTTCTGAGACTGCAGCTTCGCTGGTGGTCGGTGAAAATTTATATGCATCATTGCTTTTTCTGGAGGAACGTTTACTTTCTTAGAAAGAGTATTGAACCTTTCGAACTCTTCTAATCTATAGGTTTAAACAAATGTTAAATTAGTAAATAAGCCATTAACTCAAGGTTCCTAATTTTGTATGTTCCTTCTGATACCACCACAACTTGAAGTCCCTTATTATATCTAAACTGAAAATAAACGTGTGCCTCAACAGTGGTCTACTAAAATAAATGTGATGTCAGTGTATTAGAGTATAATCAGAGATATCAAAGGAGCCCACCAATGGTTGTTTTGCCTTACAATCTCTTTTTTTTTTTTTTTGAGACAGAGTCTCACTCTGTCATCAGGCTGGAGTGCAGTGGCACGATCACAGCTCTCTGCAACCTCTCCCTCCCGAGTTCAAGCGATTCTCCTGCCTTAGCCTCCCGAGTGCCTGGGACTACAGGCATGCACCACCACGCCCAGCTAATTTTTGTATTTTTAGTAGAGACAGGGTTTCACCATGTTGACCAGGATGGTCTCCATCTCTTGACCTTGTGATCTGCACACCTCTGCCTCCCAAAGTGCTGGGGTTGCATTGCCTTACAATCTTATAGAACATACTGACTGAAAACGTGACATGCTGAAAAGTGCTCTCAAGGTCTAGCATAATCTATTTCCAGCCTGTTGGTTTTCAATAGCTAGATTTATTACATTAAGAAAAAAATCTTACCTTGATTTATCTTCCTAGTAAAAGAATGATTATGCAATTGTTTGTAGCAAGATATTTCAAAAAGAGATTCAGATTAATGTTTGGGTTCTTTTCTGTAATTAGAAACTGACTTTGGACATGGGTAGTTAGAGACAGTGCAGCTAATAGCCTGCAGAAGCTATTCGGATTATCTATTATGAGATGCAGTAGAACTGTGTTCTATTCAGAAACGCTACCTATGAAGCATTTCTTTTTTTCTTTTTTTAGAAATCATTTTTATCTTAATAGTTATATTTTTCCGCAACACAAGACAAAGTTATGATTTTGAAAATAACCATTTTTAAATTTATTTGTTCAGTACCAATTTGGCATAATAGTTTAGGCAAAGCATTTCTTTAAGCATCCACGTGTGAACACTTGTTTTATAGGATAAACACTTGTTTTCCGTGACCGTACAAAAATAAGATAAAAATAGGTGAACATTCACTCACTCTGACGGTTAATATGTATTTGCTGAGCACCCACTGAACAGGCCTGGTTGCACTGTCTGGAACTTATGTTAGCAACCTCAAATTTAACGTCTCTCATGTAAGAGCATGCACAACCCAGGGCATGGGAGAACCTGTCCCTTGGTGAGATTCACACCCACCAACATGCTCTGATGTGCAGGGTGAGGTGCTCAGCCAGGTAGCGAACTGAGGTTCGGCATCCCCATCTCAGTGGAGCCTTGACACCACTTCTGCTGTTAAATACTGGGGAGCAACTAAATCTGGGGATGTTAAAAAGCAGCCTCCTAAACAGTATCCTCAACGTTGATGATGGAAATGAAGAGGTCTAAGAAAATGATAAATCAGTTACATGTGGAATTTGGCAGTGCCAAACTTAGACATGAGTAAGTCTATCACACACTCTATAATGAAGTGAAGAAAGCAATCTATGAAAATTTCAGAGAACACTACAGCCAGTATTTTTTCCTGTTCAGAAACTACAGCCAGTTTTTTTTCCCTTCATGGTAGAATTTATATGTTATAATATTATTTGCAGTTTGGACAGACATCAGATCTTAAGACATAGTCCTTGAAAATGTCAAGAGGATACTAAATAAGATACTAACATAGTAATCTAGAAATAGCATGCGCCTGCATTTGCATGGTGCTTCTGTCATAGAGTGCTGTTGTGCATGTAAAAACACAGCTATGGAAGGAAATACAAATAAAAATCGCACTCATGATGTCTTTAAGAAAGTCATTTGAGTATTGTAGCACCTGATGTGAAGTGGCAAACGCCATTTTGCTCACCTGGTTATTTGCCACCAGAAAAATCAGCAGTTTTAAAATCTGTGTTCAGTTCTACTTGTTTGTTGCCTGAGTGATTTTATTTCAATGACGGTTATTTGCAGGATTTGGGTTCAGCAGGCCACACTAATATCCTACAGTTGACTTAGGCTGCTTCGAATTTTTAGGAAGAAAATCATGATATAAATATCTAAGATATCATGGAGTGAATTCATATTTTGGTATAAGGTTGTTACTCCACTTGTAATATGCTTAATGATGTTAATATGTGATGAGTACCCATGTGCAAAGAAGAGGAAAAGCAAGATATTTCCCCATCATTTTCAAAATAATTGTCAGAATCTTCTAAGATTAGTATTTATACTGTGACAGCTTTTTTTTTTTGAGACGATGTCTCGCTCTGGCACACAGGCTGGAGTGCAGTGGCGTGATCTCAGCTCACTGCAATCTCTGCCTCCCGGGTTCAAGCAATTCTCCTGCTTCAGCCTCCCAAGTAGCTGGGATTACAGACACGTGGCCACGCCCAGGTAATTTTTGCATTATTAGTAGAGACAGGGTTTCACCATGTTGGCCAGGCTGGTCTTGAAAGCCTGACCTCAGGTGATCCGCCCGCCTCAGCCTCCCAAAGTGCTGGGATTACAAGGCGCGAGTCACCACGCCCAGCAACTTTTAATTTTTATAAAAATCATGGGTATAAGAAAAAATCATGATGCTAACCAGAGGTACTGAGATGTAAAAGTACAAGCTCATATTCAAATGGAAATGGAAGTTCGGAAAGGATTTGTTTTGAAGTACAACTTAATCCCACTTCACATCTTCACTAGTCTGACGGTGCTTTGAAAAACCTCCTGTGTTTTCCAAACATTTCTGTTTTTCAGACATTTCTGTCTGTACCTCATGTAAAATCACTTGTAATATGACTTATTTTGGTCTCTTGAGGTTGTGGGCCATTTCCCACTGAGCTTTGCAATAGGCACTGCACACATCAGGGACCCAGTTAATTGAAAAACTATATGGAAACCTTAAAAACAGTTATGTTGTTCCAGCCCTATTGTACAAATTTTTGAATAGGCAATAAGACATGCATATGGTAAACAATTCAAACAGTGCATCAGTAGTAATCAGTGAAAAAACATGTCCCTCAAAAATCCCTTTTTCTTGTTTCTTCCCTTCTTGTCAGAAGCAACTCCAGGAACTAGCATAGATATGTTCTATATTTCTGTTATGTTTTAAATTATATTTTATGTTGGCTCATCATTTTAAATACATTTTTGATGACATTCTTTTACAAGAAAGAATGGAAGAAAGGAAGACTTGGATTTTCGAGAAAGGGTTAAGAATAAACAAAAACACTGCAAAGATGCCATACGGTAAGGCCACGTTGGGATAGCATGTTCCGGTGAAGACACATTCGTACGGTTGAGAGTTGAATTGTGAAATCCATAACTGCATTTTTATTTGTGCAGTCCCATACTGAAAGGGTGTAAACTTAATAGTCACAGTCATCTTCCCATTAGCCGGAATTATTCCTGAGAGGAAAGAAATGAGAAAATGTGATACCCTTTCTTCTTGCCAAGTCCAGTCACAGAGGCTGACGCACACACGAATACAGCTGACTCTCCGACAACGCGGAGGTTGGGGCGCTGACTCCCCACACAGTTGAAAATCCACACGTAACTCTTGGCTTCCCAAACACTTAACTACTAGTCTACTGTTGACCAGAAGCCTTAATGATAACATAAGCAGTCAATTAACACACATTATATATGTTATACGTATTATTTACTATAAACCAGAAAAAAAGAACATGTTATTATGGAAATGATCAGGAAGAGAAAATATATTTGTTGTTCCTTAAGTGGAAGTGGATCATCACGAAGGTCTTCATTTTCTTTGTCTTCATGTTGAATAGGCTGAGGAGGAGGGAGAGGAGGGATTGATCTTGCTGTCTCAAGGGTGGTAGAGGGAGAAGAGATGGAAGAAGAGGCAGACACACTCAGTTTAACTTTTATTGCAAAAAAATCTGAATATAAGTGGGCCCATGCAGTTCAAACCCATGCTGTTCAAGGGCCAACTGGACATTCTTCCCATGCTAAGCACAAGTACAGTATTTCCATTATCTTTATGTAGCTTTTTCATTAAATACGTGTGAATCAACTTCTGCATGTTTACATTGATCTTATTTATTAATTACTACATTCATCCTTTACAATAATTATTTGATTGCATCACTTCTACAAATATATACATATCAATCTGCATTAGTGATTCAGACATGAACTCCCAGAACTATCATCTGTCAGCAAATTACCAGATGTCAATATTAATGCTATAAGCAACAGGAAAAGCTAGGAACACACATACAAGTTTGTGTCCAAACAATTCACTTCTTTTTTTGTATAATTTGATTCTTTTTTTTCAAATCTTTAGGATGGACTGCTATTCTCCCCAGAGTCAAATATCACACCATGCCTAATCCTTCTTTTGTATCTCTGGTGCCGACAGAGCTTGGAACATAGTAAGTGCTTGGAACATAGTAAGTGCTAACAAATGTGGAGAGAAAAAGAGAAGAAAGGGAGGATCAATTTTATTTATTTATTTATTTACTTACTTACTTATTGCTGTCCCAACTAGAATGGAAACTGGAGGATGAATGTTCTCTCTGACTTCCAAGGAAGGCTCTTAGGTTTGCTCTCTAGATGAGACCACCTGCTCCTGTGCATCTGGTCCTCCCACTGTCCCTGCGGAGGCCTTGCACAGTCCCCCATACGTGCCCTCCTTTACATTCATCTGCTTCCTGAATCTTGTGCGACCCTCCCTTCTCCCTTTGCCCAACCACATGGGCCTTTCCTTCACCCATTCATGTGCTTATTGAGTGCTTACTGTGTGTCAGGCACTGTTTAAGGCACTAGAGTTAGAGCAATAAACAAAACAAATCCCAGATCTCACAGTTTACATTCTAGTTGGGGACAGCAAAACATAAACAAATGAACATAAAATGCAAAGTCAAGACATGAATACCAACAGGGCATGGGGAAGCAAGTGGGTGGAAAGGAAAGGCCCCCCTTGTGAGAAGAGGTGGGAGCAGGGGTATGAGAAGGAAAGGGCCTTGGCTCTAATCCCTTATCATTGGCTCCTGCTGGCTCTGCACTCTGCACTGGCTCGGCACTTGCAATTCCCTAGGCCTGAAGAGCTCTCTCCAGATTTTCTTTTAGCTTCATCCTACTCCCGGAAATTACTGCATTTACCATCTGCCTCCTCCTAGTTAGAGTGTAAATTTTAGGAAAGCAGGCACCTGCTCATTACTGCATTCCCAGCTCAATAAATTCGTGTTGAATGAGTGAATGAACCCAAACTTAAAAGCCTATATCAACCTACAGATTACGCCAAACTATCCATGCCTCTCCCTCCACAGGAACCTTCTGTCAGCCCTACTGAACTCGCGTACCCTTGATTTCCCTGTCTCCCAACTAGATATCAAGCTCATAAGGCAGACACCAGCCCCAGACCTTTCATATCTTCCTGGATCCCCAGCACAGTGCTTCAGAAACAAGTCTTCATCAAGTTCCTGAGAGCAGAAGTCAAACTCTTTTAGTGATACTCACTAGTGACCCTAGAATCCACTGCAGGGAGGAGGGAATCAGCAAAAGACCCTGGGTCCACCAGCCAACCTAAGACCAGCCGGAAACAAACTGTGACTCTCCATCATGTGTGGGGCTTCAATACTTTGACCACCCACTTGGTCAGAAAATAGCCCCCTTTAGCCCATAAATTGATCCGGGGCTCTAAAATAAGAACATTCTATTGCTTCTGCTCTAGCTCATTAACTTAAAAAATAAGGACAAGCTCTGGAAGCAAGGATTAATGTTTGCCTTGACCTGGCTGATTTATTTTTAAGTGCTGCCAGCTCAGACCTAATACATAAAGCACACTGTGAAGGTGTAGTCTAGGCAACCAGAGTAGGCCGCTTTTTCCATTAACAGGGAGCAGTGGATCGTCAAATGTTAGCAGCTGTAAAAGGTGTGCCAAGGAGTTACCGCTTACTGCTCAGCCAAAACTAACAGTGGGACAAAGGAGAATATGTTTCATGCTTTTAAAGTGAGAAGGGTAACCCCCACCCCCAACAATGGCTACCTCCTTAAGAAAAGCCCAGGCCGGGCGCGGTGGCTCACGCCTGTAATCCCAGCACTTTGGGAGGCCAAGATGGGCAGATCACGAGGTCAGGAGATCGAGACCATCCTGGCTAACATGGTAAAACCCCGTCTCTACTAAAAAATACAAAAAATTAGCTGGGCGAGGTGGCGGGCGCCTGTAGTCCCAGCTACTCGGGAGGCTGAGGCAGGAGAATGGCGTAAACCCGGGAGGTGGAGCTTGCAGTGAGCTGAGATCCAGCCACTGCACTCCAGCCTGGGCGACAGAGCGAGACTCCGTCTCAAAAAAAAAAAAAAGAAAAGGAAAGAAAAGCCCAAATTGCTCTTTTACACTTCAGGCCAATTTCATCGGGGTCAATTTCAGATCACCACCCTTAACATAACCAGGGGTAATGTTGAATCACAGGACATGGAGGGTGGTGAGCAGAGACAGAGAGAAGAGGAAAGAACTCAGAAATCAACTGAAGGCTAAGAACACCCTAGTTGATCAATATGATGGGTATCATAAGAAAAAGTAACAGCACTGAAAAATAATATAATGGTAAATGAAGTCCTGAGGAAATGCCACCGTATCTTCACCTGGACTACAATTATACAAAGCATGTGCATTAACATGAAAAGTTATTGAAAGGAGACGGAAAAACAAAAGCACATTACTTGTTATGGCAGTGAGGCCCAGGATGGGGAACATTAAAAAAAATTTCTTCTTTCCCATGTCCAGACAGTGTTACTACAACATTGTACTAGCACTGTAAAATTATTTAATTTGAAAATAATTTTTTCTTCAAAGATCTCAAAAAGTACAGATCACTCTCCCTGAATTGTCATAGAGCCATTCAATCCACACAGTGTTCCTGAGGCAGAAAAGGGTCTGGAGACAAGGAACCTAAGGCCGATTCACGCTGACCTCCTAGAACTAAATCAGAAGGAAAACCCCAACTCTCCGCACCTAAGTAACCAAAGGACTGGAGGCTACTCCCTTTGTAAAACCCCCCACATTCTCTGCATGGCAGATGGAAAATGGAAAGTATCTCTGATTGATTGCAGAAAGCAACCAAAGCATAGGAGTCTAAATTTGTAACTTCACTTCAGGCTCCGACTGGTGGTCACTACTTCATGTACACAGGGTGTACATCAAGTAACCAATGGGAAACCTCTAGAGGGTATTTAAATCCCAGACAATTCTATAACAGAGCTCTTGAGCCCCTATACTCGCTGGCTCCCATCTTGTGGAGTATACTTTTGTTTTCAGTACATTTCTGCTTTTGTTGCCTCATTCTTTCCTTGCTCTGTGCATTTTGTCCAATTCCTTGTTCAACACACCAAGAACCTGGACACCCTGTACTGGTAACATTATAAGTATTGGTTTTAATATTCCAAGATTTAGGATTCCTCTAGCTGGGTGACTTTGGGTAACTACTTGATCTCTCAAAGCTAATGTTGGGAAATTAATAGCTATTTAGCTTTAAAATCATCCACATTCTAACCATGCTTTCGATTCACTGGATTACAGAAGGGAGGGCTACCATCCCACTCACAGTGGCCACACTCCCCAGCCCCTGCTGCTGCCTAGGGAGTGTGGGCGAGAGAAAGGCCCCAGCACCACACACACCCTTACTTAGTCCTTGCTTGATTATACATGAACTGTGTAACTCAGCTTGGCTGCCTTAGCTGAGGCTCAGTTTTCTCATCTGTAAAATTGGACAAGGCTTAAAGGAGAAAATAATGTACAGGGTCTAGGATAATGCTTGGCACATAGTGTGTGTCCCATAAATGTGGACTTCCCAATCCTTATGCTAAATAAAACAAGTAACAATTTATTGTGTATTAAATTGTCATTAAAATATCAGAAAGAAGAAATATTTCCTTGAAAAACTTACACTTGACCTGTTTGAGTTCTTACACAGGAAGAGGCGATTGCCTCACGATGCCAAATCACTGGGATGAGCGTCCCAAAGCACCAGGTCTTCCTTTTGCTCCACAAAAGTGCCAAGTGCAGGCAATCTACAGCTCAGAAGACAAGGACTCGGCGGCCTCTACAAAGTGTAGTTTAAAACATAGGCCTGGAGACTTATCGTGAAGAGGTGAAAGAGAAGCCCCGAGGGCTTTTGGATACCGGTTCGTGTCTAAACTTCCCAGGAAGAACAACGCCTGCTCAGCCACAGCAGATGAAGACACGTGTGGTGCACATACTGAGACGCTAACAATCCCCAGAACTTATTTTAATCTTTTATTCCTTTCTCCCTCCAGCAAGCTTTTCTGGCCGGAACTAGAAATAAGTGGTAAAATTAAGTCTTTTGGAATCTACTGACTTTCTATTTCATCCCTGTACATCAAATATCCAAAATGCAGACCTTGGCAGCAAGACCAGACAACCT